ACAACCTTCTTCATCCTTCCATAATCTTCCATCACCTTCCATAGAATTCCATAGCCTTCCATAGAATTCTATAACCTTCCATAATCTTCTATAGAATTCTACAATATTCTATATTCTTCCAAAATATCTTTACTTAGATATTTACAAAGGTTTTGGTCTTAGGTAAGATCCTAAGATTAGCCCAATGGGCCGGACCTTATCCAACGGCCCGTGACAGACTGCTAGGTTTACGGTGGATTGAAGGATTAGGGTTCGATGAAAGAGAAGAGCGGCTGCTAGAGACCGAGAACGATAGACTACAGTAATCCTGGCCTTTGTGGGCTTGCCTTTTTTTGGATGGGCTTTTGGGCTTCAGCAAAAGCACAACGCCCTTTTTATTGACCGAGTTCGGATAAAAAAAGGTTTAAGCACCTCAAGCAACTTTAAGCCACATGTTTGTATAATTATTTGACAAAGTAGCTAGTGCAATTACAAAAAAAAAAAAAAATCAAATCATTATGGGCAAACCTCATCAGATACAGCAAAATGATCACGACTGTAGCAGCTATGATCTCTCTATAAAGAAATGGTTACGATCGCTATGGAAGAAATGGTAATCACCATAAGAGAAACCGATCACGATCGTCAAAAGGAAGTTTATAGAGGCAATGCCTCAAAAGAAAAAAAAGTGACGATGGTCACATCAACGAAAAAGAAAGACAGAAACAAAAAGCATAGTGAATGCTTACGACATAAATAAAATTAGAGGCAAAGCTTCCTGAAAAAGACAAGTGCTAGACCGCCACAATAAATAAATCAGAGGTAAAACCTCCAAAAAAAAATAAGTGACGACCATTGTTACACAACAAATTAGAGACAAATTCTCTATAAAATAACCGTAGAGACATGATACTATTATTCTTTATCCTGGCCCTCTTGATTCCTATGGTATACTGACAAATAAAAAATCATCTATCTATTTTATTTTATTGTGTGTGTGCGTGGTTCATCTACTCCTCCAATCTCTTCTTTCATTCATTCAATGATGTTGCAGAGACGGAGATACGGGTTATCGAACTGCACATACTTGGACCAGTAGGGTTTGTACTTGGCAAATGCCAAACCCAGCCATGGCTTGTAGTTCCCATTGTAATGCACAACTGCTGCATTCTCTATAGCTGTCTGGTTGAGCGCTGGGTCATAGCCAAGCCCCAGCACGTGCCAGCTCCGCTCCATTGCATATGTCAGGTTGTAAAACGTGATCAGCCCGGGTGGCAACGAACCCAGCTTCCAGAGTGTTCTGTCCTCGTTCTGCATCCACACCATATTATAGAGTGAGTCATGCTCTATCACAGGAAAGTAAATGCCTTTTCAAATTCAATGATTCGCAAATGCCTTACCATGTCTTGCCAGTAATGATATATCCCTGTAATGTTCCGTTTTCTCCACTCTTTCAGGTCAAACATATTCATTCCAAATGCCCACCCGCAAGCCCCCGCATCAAAATTCTCTGAGATCTTTGGATTTGAGAAGTTGAGGTACTTGTCAAATCTGTGGAAGCTCTCCTTACACGTCTCCACCGCACCATTCACTTTTCCTTGCATGTCTACTGCCCATAGAGGTGCCAGGTCCTTTTGCACCACAATGTCATCGTCGAGAAACAGGATCTTCTCCAGCTTCGGATATACCTCAGGAAGGTAGAATCTCAGATGGTTCAGCATCGATAGATACTTTGGGTTTCGGTACTTGAGATTGTCCGCGCCAGCTGAGATGGATGAAGGATGATTTGCTTTGAAATAGTATTCTTTCAGCCTTGCGGATTCAAGCTGCCGTAGAACAGAGCAGTACGACGAGTTCAGCCACTTAAAATCATTGATGTTCTCAACTTGAATCGTCGCATCAACAGGAACATTGATGCGAAACCACATCTTCATTGCAGCAAAATTCAATTTGTCAGTTACTATATGGAACACATGCTTCTGCGGTTCCTTCGCATTCAGGACAGTGGAGTTGACCACAACTGATGTAGCGAGAACGTTATCCGAAAAGATCGCATAGTGATAGAGAGAAGGATCTTCAAACTTTATTCGATTGGCATCCTTTTTGACTGCATCCTCTTCATTCAAACCGAGAAGAAAATAGTCTGCCGCTAGCTGCAGACTCAGGCAATGCAATGGCTGGGGAAATGTTTTGGCGGCCAGCTGAATCAAGAAGGTGCCCTTTTTCTTCAGTCCATCTACATTGCGCTCAGTGGATTGAAGCATGGCCCGGAATTTTTTTGCAAGTTCATGGCAGTCATATAACTCGTCTTTTGCTAGAGAGAGAGCATGGCCCATGGCTTTTGCTTGATCAAGTGCGCTAGCGAAAAAAAAGGGATGAAAAAATTTCAACAAAGATTCCTGTCTCACTCATCCATACTGACAAGAGGAGTTTAAAGAAGTACCTTGAAGGAAGGTCAGCATCGGTGGTTGCTTTTCCGATAACACGTTGATTTTCTCCACACTGCTGCACCAAGAAAACGTAAAGATTGGTTGCATTTTTTGATTTGGCAATATTTGCATATGCTTTTGCCATTATGATCTGGTCTCTCATAAGCTTCAAGATAGCATCAGCGTTTGGGCTCTCATAGTCTCGCCTCCATATACTGTATTTCCCTATGACTGAGTTTTCAAAACTCATTGACTTCTCAATTGCTGCTTCTTGCATCTGCTCGTCAGTTTCCTTATCTTGTTGGATCAGCTCCAAAGTTCGCTGACCTCTCCTTTCCTTACGTAAAATCTAAAAGGGTATACAATTGTTGCAATCCCAGTCAAGTATAATCAACACATACAGAGATTACAAAAAGAAGGGGGGTATTTGACAGATCACCTGACGCTTCAGTTTCGCCGGGCTTGTAAATTCCACATGTGGAAACTGATTCTCGCTTTCACCAGACTGATTAGTTGTAGAATGACTTGCACTCCCTTCCATTATAGTAGCATTTTGAAATGAATCCCGTGGTATCACTAGCTAATTCCATACAAAAAATGTCAGCAACCAGAGTACAGAGAATATGAGCAAAGCTTAACGATAAATCCAAGGAAATGAAAAGAAACTTGTAAGATCATCCTAGCTTCTGCGAAGAATCTCATAAGCAGATCAACACATGGTTAGAATTAGAGCAAATGAAGTTCATAAGATGTATTCAATTGCTCTGCCAGTGAGAGTGCTAAGTAATCACTTGACACACTATAAGTTGTCTCCTCTATTTCCATGTCCATGAGATCTATGATTCTGTTCTTAAACCTTGTTAAAGCCGAAAACCAGTCTTGAGCAAACATTAAATTTGGTACCTGCGGACCTTGTTTCTTGGCAGGATTGTCCAAAACCCAAGAAGATGAAAGATCCCCCATTTTCACCCTACCAAGCCGTATATTGCCATAATGGTCACTGTATGTGGCAACTATGTTCACATCCTGAGATAAAAAAAAAAAAAATTAGATAGAAGTAGGAAGCATATAATTGTAGTCAGAGAAAGAAGAGTTAGAGGCTGCAGCCTTACTTTAAGATCCGGATCATAGTGCACTGCAGCAAGTGAGGAAGCAGACACCTCCTGAAGGCATTAGTTGAAAACCAAAAGTAAATCACAAAGCTACAAACTCCCATAGATTCAGCAAAGGAACAAGAGAAAGAGACCTGGAGGTTATTACATCCAGGACAATCTTGCAGCAGACGAAAAGCTTGAAGTTCTCTGTGGCTGCACAAGGAAGCATCATGAGCAAATAGAAAGGAAAATAGCAAAAAGACGAGCTTCCAGGCAGAGATATATATGATTACGGTGCTTGTGACTCTAGAATGGCTCCACCGACATGAACAGCAAGTAGCATTACCTGCGTCCACCATAACCACTCTAGTTAGTCCAAAACGATTTCCGGCATTTGGATCAGATCATCCGTTTACACTATCAGCAAAAGAAATTCGGAATGCAAGAGAGATAATCATATGGAACGAGAACAATTCCAGGT